CTCTCGGCTATCGCCTCGAGCGACTCTTACGCTTCTTTCGTGCTTAGCAACCTCCCACGTGCATCCATAACTCAATAGTGTACGCTGTGGTGTTTACCATTTGTTAATTGGGAGGAGTGGTTTCATCATTTTCCAGAATAGACCAGTGGATGGTGTTGTTGAGGCCGTATCAACACAGAAATCCTTTATTGCCCTTCTCTTCATTGCTGTGACTGAGTTTCTTTGTTTCCTATATTTAGACCAATTTAAATCTGTTGGTACACGGCGAAACTTCTTGTAGAGTCGATTTCGTGTTCGAATCTGCTTTTGAATGGTCGGGGCTGACCCACGGCAATTGGTTGTTGCCAAGCTGTATTTGTTTCACAGGTGCATGTTCGTCGAGGACTTGTTTGAGCAGGCCAGACCAATGAGACTATATATCGTCGATGTTTTCGAAGATGTAAGAGCAGTTCATGGAACGTTTCTTAATCAGAGAGAAATGCATTTTGATCCAAATTCTTTATAGATCTAAAATCTGTTTTAGTCGCTTTAGGTCTTGGCAACTTTTGTTTCTTCACAACAAATATCAAATCGTGATCACTAATCCCAACTTGCAAAATTCCGCTTTTTGCCAATCTCTCAGGCTGTGATGTTGGAACAATGTCAAACAATGTGGTTGAACGATTAGTTGTTCTCGTAGCCTCGTGAAGAACGTTCGTTAGGAAAAATTGTTCCATGAAATTGGTCAGATGTTTATTAGGGCCATTTAAATTATCAGGGGATTCAGGCATGTTCATATTAAAGTCTCCGATAAACATGATTTCTTTGCGTTTGACGTACATTCTCTCAGCTGCTGACGTACATTCTCTCAGCTGCTGACGTACATTCTCTCAGCTGCTGACGCACAGGCTGGAATAAAATCCGTGATTTTACATTTCCCAGGAGAGCGGTAACAGGAATATATCAGAAACCAATTATTTGCATATCCCTTTACGTCTAAACAAATTGATTCAACTCCTTCTGTCTCAAAATTAATCTGACGGTGGACCATTACGTTCGATCTGATATAAACGAGTGGCCACCTCCTCCTCTTTTTCTGTCCCGTCGAATAATACGATATTGCGGGTGGGCAAATAAAGAAGAAGAGGTAGTCCCATCAATCTTGCTTTCAGTGATAAAGAAGATATCAAGGGGAAGATACGATGAATCTTTATTCGTATTTGTCGACGCAGACGAAATAAAAAAAAAGCCTTTGACTTGCAGTGAATTATAGTATGGCAGGAGGATTAATAGCAATAGGGAAGATAAACACGAACTGCAAACTTAGATCTGTAAAGTAGCTGCTATGATTAACAATACTCTGTAAATTCATTTCGCATTATTTTTACAGCGTCTTTCAGCATAGGGTCAGGGACTCACTACTCGCCACTAGATTGCAAATCTTGCAGCATTGGAGGGACAATCACAGTGACCATGTCATGTAACATCAAGATAAATGGTAGCGACGAGAAATGTGATGGGTACAAGTTCAACAAAACCAGCTGTGATTACGTTTCTTTGGGCGATAGAGGGTACCCCTGTGCTGAGGTGAAAATGAATTACGCAGACTATGTGGAAAAAAAGGTGACCGTTCCAAGAAAATGTGGTGAAGTCTGCCCAGCCTCTGGCTCAGGTTGGTTTAAGTCTAACTCTAAAACAAATTGTTTCAAATGATTCATTTGAAGACTCGGAGATGTTGCAGTATAATCTACCCCGACAGTAAAAGAAAATACATATGGTGCACGATCCTCGCAGTAGATAGCGCTATTTAAGCAATAAATAGCTTAAATAGCGCTATCTACTGCGAGGATCGTGCACCATATGTATCTAATACCGCAGTTCAAAATATATGAACTTCATATATTTCATTGTATCTGAGTAAAAGAAAAATTACATGACGCAACTGGAACGCTTTTCGATTGAGTGTCGTACAACCAAAACCAGAGCAATCACAACAACCAGTCAGAAGAAAGAAAAATGTCCTTAAGAGCCAATAAGAACTCAAAGAAAAACCAACCAAATTGTCTAACGCGCGGGAAAACGTGGGCGACCAAGTTGTGATTAGTTTTTTAATTAGCGTTGCATCTCATTGGTTAAGAGAGTGGCGCGAGTATTCTGGACCAATCACAGAGCGAAGTAAAGCAGAACCCAACGCAATTTCGAATTACTTTTGACACTCAGTTCAAATGTGCTATATCTTATAAAGCAAAACGTTTTTTTCAATTATACTTTTCTGGGTAACTATTCCAAGGAAGTGACTACTTAACTTGACTCCTTTACTGACTTAACCTTCAGTCAGCGCTGATACAAACTCACGTCAAACCGACTGCTATCTCGAAATCTTGTCTGAAACTCTGACTGTAGGCAGGCTTCCTTCAGTTGAAAGGAGATTACAGCAGCTCTAGGTAGCTTCTTCAAGAAGTCGGTCTTTGCCGACAACAGAAACCTCTCTATTCGGTGACTGACCCCCATCTCACATTAACATGTCATTCTAAAAGGTACCGGAAACTTCAAAACTATTTTTCTTGTAGCAGTGCATCATTATTGCATTGAGTATAAAATATTCTAGAAAGGTACAGAGTGTTACTCTGACTATGATTATATGAATATTATATTTGTAAATTGTGGATTAATAACTGAATATGAAAGTGATCTTCGCAGTTATGAACACTTAATTTAATCAGTAATGAAAATATGGCCTGAAAAAAATTCAGGCCAGCACGGGAGTTGAACCATAACCTATGGTGTTCTAGTGCAGTACTCTCCACAAGAGAAATTCCTAAATTTAACAAAAATCTGTCCTTTTTTTTATAGTGTTGTATCCACACGTCTTGTTCATTTTTGCATCTGGCCTCGTTGTCGGAATGTAAGTACTTATCACTTACTCGAGCTTTTATTAAAACCCATTGTAAGTTCTTCGATCAACGTAACAACTGTTTGACATCATTAAGTCAATGTAATCTTAATAAGCAATTTTACCACAGAAACTTTCATTTGCTTCAGCTGTTCATTTGTCCGCAAGAGCTATTTCTGATAAAGAAGATTAACAAACTTTACTCGTCACATTTCCATGCATCTCAAAGAAAATCCAATTTTCTTTAAAAATCTAAAAAGGCTTCGTCCATCTTGACGGTCATGACGTCACGTCTCGTATATCATAATAGAATTGTAACACAGGTAGCCCAGCTTGTGGAAAGAAGTAGGACATGGCTTGTATGGGTGCTAAATCTTTGTATTTTTTTTGTAGGTTATCACAGACTCTGTGATCCATTGGCCTTGAAAAACCTGAAGTTTCCAGCAATAAAAATTAACGTTATTTCAGTTTTCCAGGAGTAAAGACATAGAAAAATTATAATTGTAGTTCACGGAAGTTTAATAGATGCAAGCCAAGGGATTTTATAAACAATCTTTGGAGTGAAAATTTTTCTGTAGAAAACTGAGATACCACGACTGATAGGGATGGAAATCGAGTGTAGATGGAGATAGTGCAATCAAATCTTTTTATCGATGTATAAATACTTCAAAACGACGATGGTAAGAAATGTTCACACTATCTTCTCGATCAAATGCGACTATAGAGCGTGGACACAGTGGAAAAATGAGTGCGCATGCTTGTAACTCGCGAGAAATTTACGCGTGCGAAGGAATGGGAACGACAATATTTCCATAGTAACACTATCGAGGCAAAATGGCAGCATTTTTCAAAATTCTCATTGTTTGTTTTCAATTCGTGGGGGATAAACCCAAATCAAAACAGATAAGGTTGCTGTTTTCAGGAAAGCTGTTGTCAAACCTCACATGTCTTACTCAAAGAAAAAAAGTTTTCGGTAACAGGTGTGAATTTAGTGACTGAAGTTGAGCAGCCATAACATGGCTAAGAATTTCGTAGCGCCGCCTGTTATCGCTGTAGCGCTTCTGGCCATCTCCTTCAGTAGGCAAACCCCCCGGAGAAAAAGTTTGTTGTCTCGGCTGAAAAACCCGCGTCAGCTTATGTTTGCAATACAAGAACCGTTACCCCTAAAACCTCAAATAATTCGAGTAGCAGAGCATGCACACTCATTTTGCCGCTGTGTTCTGTTGTGTCTACAGTGAGTATCATGAGCTGCTCGTGCGCAGTTCAGCTACCTTTGAAGCTAGCTATTCAGCTCCTTTTAAAGTTTTATTGAAAGGTTCAACTTTGTAAAGAAATATGTTTGTATAGCCAGGGAGTGTATCAATTTATCATTAAAAGTGTATAAAGGGGAGAAGTTTTTGGAATCCTTGCTTATAAGTCTAGTGATATGAGCACTCGACTTCCTTAAATTTAGGAAGAGATTTGACAGGAGAACCCACGACGAGGAGGATTAAAACAGCCCCCTTCAGAAGCGTCCCCTGAAGGCCCTGCTAAGCTGTCGTTGTTGAGATCCTCCATACTAGTAGTACTAGAGCTTCTTTTTAATTGACTATGCGCTTTTTCTTTTTTGCCAAACTGAACAGAACTCCTTAAACTTCCTATCTCCTGAGGATTACCGCTCCTGGCACGCTTGCGCAGTGTAGGAAACTTCAATTCAGAAAAATAAAGTCTCGGAGAAGAGTCTGACTCGTAATTATTTGAGTTTCTAGCAGCTGAGACGAGTTTAAACTGTGGCGCTTATTTGAGGCATCGTCTACCATGCACTGAGCCAAGCTTAATAAGTTACTGCCGCCGGAGTTCCTGACCAAAATAGTTCGTGTAAGAACACTTGGAGTGCTGGGTAAACCACTGGTCTTCGCGGTGTTGGTAATCGGCTCAGGTATTGTCAAACCTATGCATCTCCGAAACACGCACATGACTAAAATATAAAACACTTTCTTTTATTTCTTCTGCCAAGCTTTCATGCATTGGTTTATCAGTTA